CTTATCTACTCATTTATGGTTATCAATGGCTTAATGTATTTTGCATCTCTTGTCAAACAATTTGTGAAGGTTCTTCGAGATGGAAGGTGGGGTGAGCAGGATGCTGCAATTCTCGTTCCGGGTGACATAATCAGCATCAAGCTCGGGGATATCGTTCCAGCTGATGCTCGCCTTCTCGAGGGTGATCCCCTTAAGATTGATCAGGTTTGACCCTGATGACCCATATTACACACACTTATCGTGGTGCTTCAATCATTACTACTTTTAAATGTTTAGATACTATTCTGCTATGTTTTTCCTACTTTCCAAATTGAGAATTTGTACTGAAGCTGTTTCGAACCATTTGCGCTGTAGTCTTCTCTTACCGGTGAATCTCTCCCAGTAACCAAAGGTCCAGGCGATGGTGTGTATTCCGGCTCTACTTGCAAACAGGGAGAGCTTGAAGCAGTAGTGATTGCAACAGGAGTTCATACTTTCTTTGGAAAGGCTGCGCATCTTGTCGATACGACCAACCAAGTTGGCCATTTCCAACAGGCATGATGATTCTGTACATGTTTTGAAAGTTCTCAATGTTGGGATCTTGTATGCTGTATCGTTATTTCCTTTTCAATTTAGTTCAAACTATACTAATTTTTATATCTGTGTCGTTTCAGGTCTTAACTTCCATTGGGAATTTCTGCATTTGCTCTATTGCAGTGGGGATGGTCATTGAGATTGTCGTGATGTATCCCATTCAACACCGAGCCTACCGTCCTGGAATTGATAATCTTCTTGTGCTTCTCATTGGAGGTATCCCTATTGCCATGCCTACAGTTCTGTCTGTGACCATGGCCATTGGCTCGCATAGACTATCTCAGCAGGTTAGCCAGATCCACATAAGATGTGTTTAACAGAGTTTCTGTTCAGTATATTGTTGTCTTTTAATTTCTTAAGGAATTTTGTTTTCAATGAAATTGCATGATATATATATGATAGGGTGGGATTTGGTAAGCCGTGTTGCAAAAATATTTTCTTAAAATTTTTGTGTTCTAATGGCTGTATTTTTATATTCTGATATATATCGCAGGGAGCAATAACCAAGAGAATGACAGCCATTGAGGAAATGGCTGGCATGGATGTGCTTTGCAGCGACAAGACCGGAACTTTAACATTGAATAAACTTACTGTTGACAAAAATCTTATTGAGGTAATGTGGGCTTGGTTAAATAAATTCGAGGATCCAGGATCATGGTACCTGTTTCTGATTGATCTCAAGTTTTCTGTAAATAGGTTTTCACAAAAGGAGTGGATGCGGATACAGTAGTCCTGATGGCCGCTCAAGCTTCTAGACTTGAAAACCAGGATGCCATAGATGCTGCTATAGTTGGGATGCTTGCTGACCCTAAAGAGGTAATACTGGTTTACTACGGACACATTTTTATTTTAATTCCTACAGAACTACACTGTTAGTCTAAATCTTCCTCAATATTGCTTTCTGTAGGCACGAGCTGGTGTTCGAGAGGTTCACTTTCTTCCATTCAATCCCACTGATAAAAGGACGGCTCTTACATATATTGACAATGATGGTAAAATGCATAGGGTCAGCAAAGGTGCACCTGAGCAAGTAAGCTGTCGGTTGCCATATATGTTCTTTTAAAAAAGTTTGGTGTTGAGCATAGTCTTATTAGCTTCTATTGCCAATGTCTCAGATCCTAAATCTTGCGTACAATACAGCAGAGATCGAGCGGAGAGTTCATGCTGTAATAGACAAGTTTGCTGAACGGGGTTTGCGATCTCTTGCTGTGGCATACCAGGTAAATGGAGACCAGCTCCTCAAGTTTCTCGGGATATATTAGTGTAAGTTGATACAAGATTCATGGTTGGAAGTGTTTGGCCTTCTGCAGGAAGTTCCAGAAGGGACGAAGGAAAGTGCTGGAGGCCCTTGGCAATTTATGGGTCTCATGCCTCTTTTTGACCCACCAAGGCATGACAGTGCCGAGACAATTAGAAGGGCTTTAAATCTTGGGGTGAATGTCAAAATGATCACAGGTGAATTTTTGTTCTACTCAGAACTTAAGTTATCACGCTTAAAAGCCAAAATGATCACAAAATGCTTTTCCATGTATATAGTTTTTTAATTTCTGGTATTGAAAAGCGTATCCTTATTCTAATGACACCTTAATCAGGAGTTCAGGACAGCCTTCTCATTTTTCGTCGATGATGTTGAGTTATGCCTCTTCTTTTCCGACTTTGTTTGTCTTTGCTAAAGGTTTGTTGAATTCTATAGGGGATCAGTTGGCTATAGGAAAAGAGACTGGACGCCGTTTAGGAATGGGAACCAACATGTACCCTTCATCTGCTTTGCTTGGACAGCACAAGGATGAGTCTATAGGTGCCTTACCCATCGATGATCTCATAGAAAAGGCAGATGGCTTTGCTGGCGTTTTTCCTGGTAAATTTTGTTTTCCTGTTTCTCCAAAAACTTAATCAATCATAGTTCATCTCAGGATTTTAACCAAATTACTCAAAAAAATGGTTTGCAGAGCATAAATATGAGATAGTTAAGCGACTACAAGCGAGGAAGCATATCTGTGGAATGACAGGTGATGGAGTAAATGATGCTCCTGCTCTTAAAAAAGCTGATATTGGCATTGCAGTTGCTGATGCAACTGACGCAGCACGCAGCGCTTCAGATATCGTTCTTACTGAACCTGGTCTAAGTGTTATCATCAGCGCTGTCTTGACCAGTCGTGCTATCTTCCAGAGAATGAAAAATTATACTGTGAGTGTCGCATTTATTCTCAGTCTCCATCAAGTCTTTCAACTTTCTCTGCATTGTCATGGAGGAATCGTGGAATGTATCATACTGACCATATCCTATTTATGCAGCTCTGTTAGTTGTGTATAATTTGCAAGTCAATATCATTGGTTCTTTTGTTTCGTAAACAAATAACTTGAGCCGGCTTTTTATTTTTCTGTACAGATATATGCGGTGTCCATCACTATCCGTATCGTCGTAAGTTGGCATTTGATTTGTTCTTTTAATTTCTCCCTACTTGTTTTTTACCAAGTTCCATTTACAACTTGATTTTCATGTGTATGATACTCATACTCCTTGTGATTTCCTTTTCTACAATCTATGTTAATTCAGCTTGGCTTCATGCTACTGGCTCTTATATGGAAGTTTGATTTTCCACCTTTCATGGTTCTTATCATCGCGATCCTGAATGACGGTTCGTTCATTATTTTGGCATACATTACTCTATATTTCTGTCAAAACTGTACCAAAACTGATTAGAGAAATATATGGTTCTAGGATTTCAGCATATCTATACCTTTTGCTGGTTTACATTGTTTTTCTAGTATTCTGCTGTATTTGATTAACTCTTGTGGCGCTGACTTTATAGGCACAATTATGACAATATCAAAAGACAGAGTGAAACCTTCCCCTCTTCCAGATAGCTGGAAACTGTCAGAGATTTTTGCAACTGGTGTTGTGTTTGGGAGCTACATGGCAATGATGACAGTTATATTTTTCTGGGTTGCATATAAAACCGACTTCTTCCCGGTATAGTCTCTCTCTTCTGTAAAGAAACACTACTCTTGCTTGTTTTTTTCTCGTTGGATTATGCACTCCATGAACACCTCAGAAGCTGTTTTACGTTGCTACTCTATTGAAACATTAACTCTCCGTTTAGATGAAATCATGAACTCCTGTTTTATGCGTCTTATTGACCAGCGAACTTTTGGAGTTGCAACCCTTGAGAAAACAGCACATGATGATTTCCGAAAGCTTGCCTCAGCAATATACCTACAAGTCAGCATCATAAGTCAGGCGCTTATCTTTGTGACCCGATCACGGAGTTGGTCTTATGTAGAACGTCCTGGGATGTTGCTTGTGATAGCATTTATCCTCGCACAATTGGTCAGTGTGGCACTTCACTATCTGTGGTCAGCACTCGAGTCAGAGTTATAAACCGCTGTTCCATTCTTGATATTTTTCTTCCAAAACAGGTGGCTACTCTAATTGCAGTTTATGCAAATTGGAGCTTTGCTGCAATAGAAGGAATCGGGTGGGGATGGGCCGGGGTCATTTGGCTTTACAATATCGTATTCTATATTCCTCTTGATATCATCAAGTTCTTGATTCGTTATGCCCTTAGCGGCAGAGCCTGGGATCTTGTTATTGAACAAAGGGTATGTACCAAAAAGCAACAGTTTTAGTTTCACTTGTCTTATCTGTACTTGATCTTGGATTGTGTCTCAAATGGATACCTTAAATAAGTCTCGGATTATGATTGATTCTGCATATGTTCCATAGGTTGCATTCACAAGGCAGAAGGACTTCGGGAAAGAACAAAGGGAGCTACAATGGGCGCATGCACAGAGAACCCTGCACGGCCTGCAAGCACCAGATGCTAAGATGTTCCCAGAGCGAACCCATTTCAACGAGCTTTCCCAAATGGCTGAAGAAGCCAAGAGAAGAGCCGAGATTGCCAGGTAAAAGTCATGAATGCTTTTTCATCCTGTGAACGTTTAGGATATTAAGGACGAAACCAGAACATTTTGTTATTTTCTCATTCTTTCTTAAACTTTAATAGGTTGCGGGAGCTTCACACACTCAAGGGTCATGTTGAATCTGTAGTGAGACTAAAAGGTCTCGACATTGAAACCATTCAACAAGCTTACACCGTCTGAGGGAGGCATAGAGAGAGAATCCAAGAACCGTCTCAAAATCATTCAAGGTCAATATCCCTGTTTGAAACTTCGATACAATATTATGCATATAAGTATCAGTTTCTTAGTAGTCTTTTTGGTTGGTTTTTATTTTTTCTTCTGAGTTTGAAGATTTGTTCTGTTATTATGATGAAATATGACAGAAAATAGAAAAGAAGCCTAAAAATGCAAGACAAGTTTTTATTTTGCAATACATCTGATGTTATAAATCTCTCTTTTGTCCACAATGATAGAAAGAAAGAGATGTGATCTAACACATGAACCAGAAAAAAAAAAGGAAAAAAAAGCAAGAACAACTATATATGATTACTTCATTTCTCTATGGCTTATTGCAAGAAAATCCAAAGAAATTGTAAGGGGATTGAAGCTGACCAAAAACGAAGTCTTAACAGCTTCCAGAAGATGAGAAACCCACAATCTATCAGGCAACGTTCTTGTCTTGCTGTTTGATGATATCTTCATTGGTTTCATATGTTGTCATTTCATCATCACTTCCTTTGTACCTATACCATCTTGACATCACCAAGAAGTAGACAAAATTTACTGCCAGCAAACCAGCGATCATGAAATAGAAGAGATCCAATCTTCCTTTGTTCAGATCCTCAGCTAACCAGTTACCCCCAGACGAGGTTTGCGTCATCCTGTGAACTGTTGCAATCAAGAAGCTACCGAGGTAACTCGAAACTCCTCCTCCAACATAAAATATGGATCCTGCGAAACTTCTCATGTTTTCGGGAAACTGCTTGTAGTAAAACTCCATTTGTCCAATTGCTGCAAATGCCTCGGCTATACCCGCCAGTGAGAGCTGCGGAATCAGCCACATAGCTGACATTGAAGAGATTTCTCCTTTTCGTGGCGCCATACCAAGTGTGGGTTTAGTCAGAGCGAATGTTCTCCTTCTTTCCTCAACAAATCCCGAGACTATTAAACTTGCAGTAGCGAAGAAAATGCCAGTTCCGATTCTCTGCAAGAGCGTTATCCCGGTGTCTAGACCAGTAATTCTTCTCATGGTAGGCACGAGTAAACGGTCGTAGACTACAATGAAGATTGTCATTCCCGTCATCAAGAAAACCACGTAGGTGGCTGCAGGAATCACAAATCCTCCTGATCCTAATCGACGGTCGCTCTGGAGGGCTTGGAAGACGGGATAAGTCATTTGTTGAGTTATGGTTAAGTAGTAAATTGATGAAGCAAACCATATAGGAAGCACTCTCACAATGCACTTCACTTCTTCTACTTGTTGCATTGTACAGAGCTTCCACGGGTCAGCAGGCTTACCATCTAGCTCCAACTTGTCTTTAGGAGTCATGATGGCCGCTTTATCGAGAAATCTGCCAGATAGGAAGCATTTTCAGTAAACATCCTATAAAGATAGTGAAAAGACTAGCTTTTGGCGTGCGTGTTTTACCTGAACTGGTCAGTGTATTTGAGCTTGGAGTTTGCGTATTTTGGTGGGTAGTAATTGTAAAGGTTAAGCCAAGGCTGTTGCACGGGCTTTACTCCACGTTTCTTGATCGCAACCGCTATAACTTGAGCTATACTGGCCAAAGGACTACCCGAGGCTTTGATTTTTACATACAACTTATCGCCCGCAAAGAAGATCAAGCAGGCCAAGAACATAAGAACTGCCGGGATGGTTAAACCGATCGTCCAACTTACATTAGACTGAATGTAGACTACGAGAGTCAGCGACAAGATCTGCGCGAAAGTGAAGGTAAAGAAATACCAATTGAAGAAACTGTCAATGCCTCTTTTCCCTGATTCGCTTTTGGGGTTAAACTGGTCAGCACCGAAAGCTAAATTACACGGTCTAATCCCACCAGCTCCCACAACAAGGAACCCGAGACCCATCAGTAGAAAGGCTATCTGGCCTCCACTTGGCCCGTTACACAAGGTATCTACAGCTGTTCCCAGACATGGAGCTGGATGCAGCTGTGGCACTGCAGCAGTCAATAATATCACAAACGATCCCTACAAAAATAAAAAATAAAACCCAATTTACTGATCAGATTTTTTTGTTTCTGACTTTGTAAACACTGAATGTTTTAGAGAAGGGAAATATATAACTTGAAAAAGAAAAAAGAAAAAGAAAGGGCAAGGATGATTACAAGAAAACAGGCGATGACGGCGACGCTGAGAGTCTTGTATCGACCGAAGTAAGTGTCACAGAGAAAAGCAGCAACGAAGGTTCCGAAGTTGATAGTGCCGCTAAAGGCATTAATGATGGTAGCAGCAGTAATACTCTTCATGTTGAAAACTGCAGTCAAATAAACCAGAAGGTTTGATAGTGTTCCAATGATCCCAAGCTTCTCAAACGTCTCATTTCCTGATTATAATAACCCAGCAACAAGAAACAATATCATAAGACTTTGATCGAACATATTACAAAAAAAAGAAATCAATATATATAGGTTGTGGTGATAAAACTTTTCAAAACATTGCATTAGGTTGAAACAGAAACCAAAAACAAAGAATCAATGAGATCTGTGTCTTTTTAATTAATCGTTGACAAAATATGTTATAAAATCTTAGACAAAACTCGAGAGATCTCCCTCTGTTTTTTTTTTTTTTTCTTAAACTACCGTTGACTAAGTCAAAATTTAAGACAATACACAGAGGATCTTAGAAAACCAATTAAAAAAAAACAAACTAATATAAGAGTCTACTCTAGTCCTTTGAGCAAGACTAGTGTTTTTCTTCTTTTCTTTTTTTTTTTTAGTCTTTTTAAAAAAATAAAACAGTTTTCGGAGTTTTATCCGAAACTCCATAAAAACAAAAGAAAGAAAAACTAGAAGAATAGAGTGGAGTTACCAATAATAAAAGGCATGACTTTCCAGCCTCGAAAAACGACTTGCTTGTGATGAAGAACATCTTCATCAACAGCCGTAGCAGAGCCACCGTACAAGGCGGAGGAAGGGTTTTGCTGGTGGTTATCCTTTGACTCAACTTCAAGAGGCTTTCTCTCCATTTCTTTTTTGTAGCGTAACGATTACTACTACGTACAACTAACGAAAAGATAGTCTCGTGTGTATATATAATTTATGTTGTTGTATGGTATGTCTGAGAGAGAGGGGAAGATGACTGTTTTGTTCATCTTAGAGCTGTCTTGTATTTATAGTGGTTAAGGAGGGATGGTGGAGAGAAGAACTCTTGAGAATCTTATTTATTAAGACAAAGTGGTCATTTCTTCTTTTTCTTATTATTTTTGTATTTGGCCGTGAAGGAGAGCTCTGTTACTGATTACTATATTAAGTATTCACTTTAATCCTTCTTCTTTTTTTCTTCCAACATATTAAAAAACAAAAAAAAATAGTATTATTATTATTAGTATTTCTCTATAAATTAAAAAAACGAAAAAGAGTGAAAATGTAGAGATTCCATTATAAGTGGTGTGGACCCATCAGAAGACTCTCCTTCTTAATAACGGCACGTTCTTTTAAGCTCTCCCTCCATTCTTTTTTTTTTCTTTTTTTTTTCTAATTCATATCAATTCTTCTTTACCAATTTTAATTGTTCTCTAATATTTTAGTGTAATAAACGACGATGATACTTAAATGTTGTTTATGATTTCGAGATCTAGTTTATTTATAATAGTACTAATACATTTATCCATCTCAGAAGCGTACACCATTATTTATACATGAATACTCTATCTATCTATATTCATGTGCATATACGTAATATGATCGCTATATATATGTTTGAGGTGGTTCGTTAACTTGTGGTGATGAAGCTTCCTAAACCATCTTATTTAATTATTTCAAAATCCGTATTAAGAAAACATTAGTTCGTTCCTTTGCATTTAACATGTGTGTATATATAGTGATCAAATAACACACACACACGCACTGCACATTCGTACCCACGAGGAAGTGGAGGATGTATGTTTTTATTTGATTATTTCCTATCAATTTACCCACAAATTCTATGAGTTGACCACTGGACAAATACTAATCACTAACATTATGCTGATGACAGAGTGTTTAATAAAGCTAATGCTATATGTATCGATCTGTTTACCGATCGAGCTACGTTGGTTAAGTAATTAGTATGAAAGCTACTAACTTGTTTTCGTTCACACTATATATTTTGTAGTTGATTAACGGAAAAAGTTGTTTAGTTACAAATCATTTTTTTTGGTTACAATCTTTCAGTACTGTGGCCTACTACTTTCGTAGCAGATGTTGATTTTGATTACGTTTAAAGTTTTTCTAGATGATGTTTTCTGAATTTTCTTCATTCATTCATCATGATACACAAACAATCGTTATTTTATTATGTTATTGTTTATAAAAAAAGATTGTACATTTTCGCAAAAAGTGCAAATGTGTTTACCTCTTCTTATTTACCATTTTGCTTTACTTATATAAAGTTACGCTCGCTACCTTCGCACCAAAAAAAAAAAAGTTACGCTCGCTACCTTCTAATTTATCATCTTATTAATCCGTACCAGTTTTTTTGTGTTAAACCCCGGTTTTACTCATTTATAACCGCCAGATTTTGTGTTATTTTCATATGAGCTTAGTTTTTTCATGCTTTATAAAAAATACCAATGATCTATTTTCTCTATTTTCCTACACATGTAAGTGAGAAATTTTTTGATATTCTAGTTTCTGAATGTATTAAAAATTAGTCTCTTTTTTTTTCAAAAAATTATAATGGTAAGAAAAGAGAAAAAAAGAAGAAGACAATGCTCATTCGGTTGATATATGTACAAGCATAATATATATACTTTTGAAAAAAAATTCTTTATTCATTAATAATAAATCCTCTTCCTAGACAATTAGTATCTTATGAAATGTTTAGTGATATTAATTGGACAACATGACACCAATAAGGATGGGTACCTTTTTTTGAATTTCATCAACTTGAGCTTTCAATTCAACTATAATCCCTTTCATTTTACAACTTTGGTCCACAACTAAAAATCCTCAAAAGCATGTGTTGCCATGTTTATTCGCTTGTAGTTGTCAAATAAATAACGATCAACAATTCATTAGAATAACTACCTCCTCTGTTTCGAGATTCTTGCAGTCTAATGAGGTCAAACAAAAAAACATAATAAATCAATATGGTGATATCTTTTTGTGTGTGTGTGTGTGTGCAAAGTGGTGATTCAATTAAGCTTGGGAATTAAATGATTTACTATTTAACCTCAAGTCTTTTTCATAAGAGAAATCTAAATTCTAGGTTAACGAAGCTATGTCGTACAACTAACCAAGATCGTAAAAGAAAATGCATGATATATTTTATGTAAATTATGGTAAGATATAATATGATAGTTACGATATAAAATTTCTTTAAATATTAACATGATCACAATGATCGGAAAATTTAACGTTTGAAATTGTTCATGTGCTAAATTACTTAAAATGTGATACTTCGTAACTCTCCACATTCTGTAATGTCAGTATATCGAAACTTTAAAACCTTTTATAAGTAGAGAAGAAATAATTGTGCTTTTTTAACATTCGTTGGGGTTTAGACTATCTATGTGATGGTGAGTGATGTTAGGCATATCTTTTGTGATCATTCTGTAAGCGACCAGGTCCTGTTCTCCCTAAAAGTCTTGTGGCAGCACATGTATTGTAGTTTCGAAAAGTATTAATCATTCTAATATTTTCTTAGTTTTAAATGCACATGAATTTAGCTACAAAAATGTTAGGTCGTACTTTGAAATAGAGGATCATATCATATGATTTTAATTTTTACGTTTTTTTTTTTGGTCAAACGATTATAGTTTTTACTTGATTAATATTGTAAAATAATCCATGCATTCAGCTTCAACATAAAAATTATTTTCAGCGCGAATAAATTTATCAACTCAAACAAAACGAACCATTCTAGTACTATTATGTATAGTTTTAGTCACTTAATTAGTTTTTGCTTTCTTGCTAGCTAAACACCTTTCTAGATCGGCTTAATCTCATTTTACATACGAAACAACAAATTATTAAATTTGACTTAATAACTTTCTTACTTACGTTGTTCCGTATACGTACCATCCTAACCGTAAACATAAGTCAACATGGTAGATAAGATAACGATAGGCCGTAGCCGTAGTACTTCATCTTTTGGAACTATACTGATAAAATAAGTCAAATTCTTTTACGAATAAAATATGTGTATAATAAATGTTAAAGATAGGCCAATTATTGCGTCTAACCGAGCTGGTTAAATAATTAATCCGGTTGGATTCATTACAGTCGAAAGAATCTAACAAAGTGTGATTTCGAAGGTGTATTAAAAACCACAAACTCGATCGAAGACATACATACACGTATTAAAATGTAAGAAACATACGTGTAAGCAACTATGCATGTGTTAAATATGAAAAGGACGACCACAAGCGTTGACACTTTGACAACCTTTACTCCCATTTTTTTCACCCAAAAAACCTCACTCACTTAAAGGCTCATAATAGTCGTGATTAAATCATTAATACCATTAGTTTCTTTTCAATATTATATACTTTTTGTATATATATTATAAGGGATTCACTCACCAAGCGAAACTGTTGTCAGAATAATTTTTTTAAAATTTCGTATTGCGAAATGATTTTAGGGACAATTGATTTTAGGGACAATTTCTAGGAAAATAATTGAGTTGAATGATTTAAAAATTTGGTGTCGAGTCTTGCAGTGTACGCAACAATAATTTATATGGAATTATTGTGTGTACTTACCCTGTCACCCAACCCTCCAACTTATTTGTCGATGAAACTCATGGAAAGAATAATTATATATATTTCATAAAGTGAGAATAATAATTGTAATTCATTTCAGTTCTATTTTTAAAATTTCCTTTGAAGACTCAAAAATTTAGTTAGTCGCGAACATATTAATTAAATTGAATATATATTCTTAAGAAATGTTTTATCTGTTTGATACACCAAATCGGTAATTTTGGATCATAATATGTATATGGCATTTTATAAGTTTATAAATTATTTGTATGTGTAACATGAACAAATAGATGAAGTTTATATAAGAAAATTGAACCAATGAAGGCAATTGTTTCGTCGTCTCTGACGCGGTTACAGTAAGCTGAACAGAGACCTAAATCGAAAAAGTAAATCCACAAGAGTCAACCTTAATGCTCATTACCTTCACATAACTGCCCGACCTTTTTCGTCTAGGACCATTTTCACGTGGTCAATGATGAAAAGTGTATATGTACATTAGTTATTGTATAGTGTGTATATATTTAAGTGTTTTGTTAAATGATTATATATTTGAATGAGTTCGATCTGTAGATGTAGAGAAAATCATTTCAAAATTGAGTACACATGTACATTCAGCGACAACTTGTTTTTAGGCTAATCATTGTACATAAAAGTTAAATCTTGCTATCATTGTACGTATTTGTCTTATGAGCTAATAAGAATACAAAGAAAAGAATACAAAGAAAAGAGTTTATTAATAATAATGTTCGCAAATAAAACACACATTTAAGATATATCCATTGTTTTGTTGATATGGGTTGGATTTTTTTCTTTTTCTTTTTCTTATAAAAATATATGTTTCACACGTATACCTCACTACATCTCTTTACGTATATATAATGTTCCTATAAACTAATAATCCTTTATTTTGAAATGCAGATTTGTCTTCAAATTCGGGAATGTGTATGGTTAAGTTTGAATTATCTGGCCGACAAGGAAAATAAAATCTTAGTTGCAGAATCTTAATCTATATTGCAAAAGTTAAAACAATCATACGAACAAAAATATTCTTCACAATCATTCACCTATCTCTAGATAGCTAGCCAGTGTATACAGTTGATCTTTCTTAAGTGGGACGACATATGTATACAGTTTCTTTTAGAGACTATCAAATTAAATATAAACCCGTTTTGAGCTAGCAGTAGTCCACCATTTTCTTTGTTAATTTTTCTTCTTCTCATTTTCTTAAGGGTCGGTCCACATGTTTCATTTTATAAAAAAAATATGTATATGTAATGATTTACTAATAAATATTATTTATTATTTACAACTCTTCTTGTATATTTAAACGAATCTATTAAAGGAAATACATTCACCCCATAGGGGTCACGCCAAAACCTATATATAGAGTTAAAGAGGGTATGATAC